GACACCATCAGGTCGAGCTTTAAGCCCAGCCTGGAGGCCAAGCTGCACGGCCTCCCGCAGGTCATCAGCGCGGCCGAGATGTACGACCAGGCCAGGACGTCCATCCCTTACCCCGAGCGGCAGAAGAGGGCCCGATCCATGATAATCCTCCAGGATTCCTCTCACCTCCCCGTGGAGCCCACGGAGATCCCCCGGCCCGGCCCGTCCGCCACCCCCCCGGAGAAGCTGAAGCGGAAGGGGAGGGTCATCGACAACCCCTACGCCAACATGGGGCAGTTCAACGTGAGCCTGTTCGCGCCCACCAAGCCGCAGAGGAAGAAGAGCCCGCTGGTGAAGCAGCTGCAGGTGGAGGACGCGCAGGAGCGGGCGGCGCTGGCCATCACCGGCGGCTTCAGCAGGGAGCCCTCGCCCACCCGCCGGGGCCACCGCCTGGGCGGGGTGGAGTACCAGCACCACGCCGGCATCGCTCAGGTCGAAGCCACGAGCATCCCCTTTGCCACTGCCATCGCTGGCGTCATGAAGGACCGAGACCGTCGCCTGGATGAGAGGCGGAAATCCACTGTCTTCCTCTCGGTCGGGGCCATCGAGGGGACGCCCCCCCCGCCCAGCGAGATGCCGTCCCTGCAGCAGTCCAGGTCCATCGATGAGCGGTTGTTAGGAAGCCGAGATGTTCTACTGCCTTCCCCCGTCTCAGCTTTAAAGCCATTAATTAGCAGCTCATCCTCAACGTTCATCCACCCCCTCACGGGAAAGCCCCTGGATCCGAACTCCCCACTGGCGCTTGCGCTGGCCGCAAGGGAACGGGCCCTGTCCACCCAAGTCCCATCCCGGTCGCCCACCCCGATCCACAGCCCCGACTCAGACAGAGCAGCACCCCTGTTCGTGGACATCCAAACCAAAGAACCAGAGAGGGGCGACTTGGAGAGCTTGGTGTCCCCCGCGTACTCCCCCGGAGGCAAAGGAGTGATCGGAGCGATCGGAGCGATCGGAGCAGACTCTGGGACTTTGGCCCCCGCCAAGAGCCCCTGGGGGACTCCGTCCACACTGAGGAAAGAGACCGAGGCCCGAGCGGAGACCCCGGGGAAGGAGGAGAAGAAACCGGAGGACAAGAAGTCCATGATCATCAGCATCGTGGACACGTCGCAGCAGAAGACCGCCGGCCTCATCATGGTCCACGCCACCAGTAATGGCCAAGACGAGATAGGACTTGAGATAAAAGAGGAGACCCCGGCCGTCCCCGAGGTTTGCACGGAGCCGGCC